ACCAGCGCACCTTCTGGACATGGACTTCTTCGGCCATCATCGTCTTATACGCTTGGGTCTCTTCGGCCGTGATACGGTAGTAGACAAGGAAGAGGGCCGGGAGGACACCGATGCCAAAGAGCACGCGCCACATGATCTCGAGGTTCTGGGTCGTCGGGTCCAACGCGTTGACCATGATCAAGCCAAAGACACCAGCAATGAGGAAGCCGACACCCTGCAGCGAGAACGTGAGCGCGACGCGGCGGTTGCGGTCGGCGGGCGACGTCGCATCTTCCGACGACGACGACGCAGCCAACGGGTACTCGCCACCGATACCGAAACCGAGGATACCACGGGCGACAACGAGGAACCAAAGCGTGCCGAGGGCCGAGCCGCCATACGCCGCCGCACAGAGGATACCGCCGATGATGAGGAGCGCGCACGTGGCCACCATGCAGTTCTTGCGGCCGTAAATGTCACCGAGAACACCAAAGACGAGCTGGCCGAGGACAGCGCCGATGAGCGCCGACGTCGAGACGCTCGACTTCATGTTGGAGTCAAAGACGGTCTTGCCGTACTGGTGCTCCAAGATGACGTTGATAATGTTAATTACCGAGAGGTCGTACGCATCGTTGAGGAAGCCAAGGCCGCGAAGGAAAACTTGTTGACCATGTTGTGGTGTGTGTGGTGGCAATTGAATTGTGAGTCGAGTGGCGCGGCCAATGTGCTTCAACGCGCGCCATGCGGCTCGAATCTTGGCGACATTCGATGCGAGTTTGGATCTCTGCTTTTGTATCGAGTCCGATTGGATCGAATCTGCCGCGGAGGCTCGTGGATCCGATGGACGTCGTCGTGTGCGACGTTCAAGGATACACGCGGCGTACCCAGTTTCTACGGCCACCACATGCTGCCACGTGAGCATACAAACTTGCTATGATGGCGCCGGCACGACCAGGCTGGGTACATTGGTCGCCGCGGATTGGACATCATGATGGCGGTGCGCACATTTGATTGGCCAGGACATATGTGACTCGCACCCTGACGTGGGACGCCGGGATCGAGCACCAGAGGAAAGGGCCCTTGCACGAGGAAAGGGCCAAGAAAGACGAGGAAAGGGGTGGTGTCGGTGATAGCTCATCGTTCCATCGCGCCAAAGATAAGCAACACTGTCAGAGATGCGACCACTCGAGAGACCCAAGAGCTCCGAGAACTCGAGTATTGAATGCTGTCTGCGACCAATATGCTACAGTAGCAGTGTCCAACGTGGTTTGGAACGAGACGACGCCGTTCTACCGACATCGAACGGCAAGTGGGAGGCAACTAGGTGGGGAGGCAATTACACTGTAGGTGGGGAGGATGACGGAACAGCGTTACAACCTAACCCAGGCGGCAAAAGGGAAATTGAGGAGCTTTCGCCGGCGCCTTCCTACGATTCCTCAAGGTGACAAGTGGCTGGTGTACTCGACTTCGAGCCGCTCGTTGTAGCTGATTCAGATACACCAAAAGCAGCATCCTGCTGCCTCTGTAGCAACGTCTCCCCTGTCTCTCGGTGACGGAAATCGTCCAGTGCACCGGTGCTCATTTGCTAACGGCGTTCGAGGGATGCAGCTTCGCATTCGGCGTTTTGGGCACTCGGAAAAGGGAAGGATCCATGGACAGCGCGGCGTCAATCTGAGATGATGCTGCTGGTACGAGAGCACTCTGCACCATATAGCGCTGTGCGGGTCTGAAAGCTGCGAGAAGTTCGAGGGCCAATGAAATATCTCCTTGCGTGGATCATGCGTCGCCGGGTTTTGACCTGTCCAGTTAGGCGATGATTTGAGCGGCCGAGGGGTTTTGGATCTACTAGTACACTACTGCGTGTTCTCGAGTCGAATCGCAATCATCTTGGCGGCACCGATAGCGCTCTGTGTTTTTTAACGCAGTCGACATCGCCGGTGGCGGTGAGTCGATGTGGTTGATACCAGCGACAATGACAAATGCCGTCACGTGTGATACCATCGAAGAGCCTGAGATAGCTGTTGCTCTTTAAGTGGGAAAATGTGCGCGCTCGAGACGCTGCATGGGAGATTCGCCCAATGCGCAACCGCCTTCTATCCTCGATCGGGATCGACAACCCGTCGAGGAGCCCGAGCTAGCTGTTGGGCGGGCAAACTATGATGTAACACAGCTTGGAGCTCGTTGAGAAGCCCACAACGCTCATCAACTGGGGTTGTTGACAGCATGATACGGCTTAAAGTCTTTGTGCCCCGTAATCATGCTCTCGATTTAGTAGCAAGCGACGATTTATTGCTCACTTGATAAGACGAGAAGACACCTCTCGATTTCACACCTCGACGAGTGGACAACGGTATATTCCACACCAATACCTCTAATCTAATTTGATTTCAACGCGAACACGTTTGATTGATTGATACCTCCAATCATACTAGTACCTGTACTATAGCGCTACTCAAGAGTGTGAGTGCATTGTCATTTGCAGTGTTAGTGCTCGCCTGATCAGCAATACGTGCGTTGGGTCCCCTCCACAGGCTACACTTATGGCCGAGTCACACTAACGACAACTTTTTGATCGTGATCACCCCAGCTTTCTTACAGGAGTGACTTGAGCTGGACCATCCGGCTCGTGTTATTCGTCGGATGTAGATACTCTTGAAGTTTTCTGATGTTCGGACCCGCTCCAGCTCGGTGCTCGCTTCGAAACATACTCTTGTCGCCGTCGGCGGTGAGCGCGGCATCCTGGATTTGATTAGCCGCTTGGATCCCAATCGATCCCCAAGACGCTAGCTCACTAGCGAGGCAAGTCTGATCGATGGCACCCAATACGCTACTATCATTGACGCCGCGCTGTCCATGGATCCTTCCCTTTTCCGAGTGCCCAAAACGCCGAATGCGAAGCTGCATCCCTCGAACGCCGTTAGCAAATGAGCACCGGTGCACTGGACGATTTCCGTCACCGAGAGACAGGGAGACGTTGCTACAGAGGCAGCAGGATGCTGCTTTTGGTGTATCTGAATCAGCTACAACGAGCGGCTCGAAGTCGAGTACACCAGCCACTTGTCACCTTGAGGAATCGTAGGAAGGCGCCGGCGAAAGCTCCTCAATTTCCCTTTTGCCGCCTGGGTTAGGTTGTAACGCTGTTCCGTCATCCTCCCCACCTACAGTGTAATTGCCTCCCCACCTAGTTGCCTCCCACCTGCCGTTCGATGTCGGTAGAACGGCGTCGTCTTGTTCCAAACCACGTTGAACACTGCTTCTGTAGCGTGTTGGTCGCTGACAGCATTCAATACTCGAGTTCTTGGAGCTCTTGGGTATCTCGAGTGGTCGCATCTCTGACAATGCTGCTTATCTTTGGCGCGATGGAACGATGAGCTATCACCGACACCACCCCTTTCCTCGTCTTTTTTGGCCCTTTCCTCGTGCAAGGGCCCTTTCCTCTGGTGCTCGATCCCGGCGTCCCACGTCAGGGTGCGAGTCACGTATGTCCCAGCCAATCAAACGTGCGCACCGCCATCATGATGTCCAATCCGCGGCGACCAATGTACCCAGCCTGGTCGTGCCGGCGCCATCATAGCAAGTTTGTATGCTCACGTGGCAGCATGTGGTGGCCGTAGAAACTGGGTACGCCGCGTGTATCCTTGAACGTCGCACACGACGACGTCCATCGGATCCACGAGCCTCCGCGGCAGATTCGATCCAATCGGACTCGATACAAAAGCAGAGATCCAAACTCGCATCGAATGTCGCCAAGATTCGAGCCGCATGGCGCGCGTTGAAGCACATTGGCCGCGCCACTCGACTCACAATTCAATTGCCACCACACACACCACAACATGGTCAACAAGTTTTTCCTTCGCGGCCTTGGGTTCCTCAACGATGCGTACGACCTCTCGGTAATTAACATTATCAACGTCATCTTGGAGCACCAGTACGGCAAG